TTTCAGCTTGGCCCAATTTCATCTTTCATTTTGGGTAGATCCAAACAGCCTGTCCCACAGGCACATTAGCAATAGCTTTACTTATAGCCAAGTTAGAGACCAGCAGAGTGTTTCTGGTGAGATGTTAAAGCTTTCAGAAGAGAGAATATGGATTTAATGGTTTACCATAAGAAAAGTGACAGAGCCAACCAACCATCCATCCCCACCTGTGCCCTATTCTTTCCTTGTGTTTCTTTAGAGCCTTTTCAGCTATTTCCTGTGAAGCAAACTGCACGAAGGCCTCCCCCGTACTCCTCCCCTGGAAGTCCACCGGCAATGTTATCCCATTTGGCACGATTTCCAACCCTTCAACCCAAGGACAAATAACCCCAGTAGGGGGGCAATATTAACATCACAAGCCCAGTCATGAGTTCTTATAGCTTTAAATACACCAGAATTTTAACACTTGTAAGTGAATGGTATGTTGAGTCCAGAACAGAAGAAAAAGCATGTCAACAACATACCATTCAGTTTATGTTCTTAACGCACCCTGCAGAGCACAGAAAACATTCTGAGTGTCAGGGACAACTCCTCAGAACAGGCATCTAATGCAGGGCGCATTAAGAAGTTCACATATTATTACAAACCTTCAATTCTGTGAAAGTATTTAAGATGAACTTTAACTTAAATTCAAACACAGCAAGTTAAACAGCTCTATATATGACAAGTATTTTTACTAGAAGTCACTCAGGTAAAATTATTAGTCTTATGCAAACATCAGTTTCAGCATTAATTTCTTTTATCTTTAGGAGTGCTTAATTAAGAAAAAAATCATGAAGTAATTTCAAAAGTATTAGTTTCTGAACAGAAGAGGCACATTTTGTATATTAAGCACATTAACAGTTTTTAAAGCTTGAATTACATAACCATGTAAGAAAGAAACAACTTAAAATGCACATGCTCAGGAATTGCTCTTGTTCGAAATATACGGATTTAGAAAACAAAAAATAAATTCTGAAGTTGCAAAATCGGAAATATTTATACCGTATTTTAAAGCAAAATAGCGAACTCCATCATATCCTGCTATAGCAAAACATTTCAGCTAATTTTAAACGCTCACATTTAGAAATTTACTACTTTGAAACACTAACAAGTTAAACCCTAAATCAGCAGATTTCTTTCTCAGGCATTTATAATAGTATTCCAGTTCATAAAACATACAACAGCTGTAAAAAAGTGAAAACGAGTCAACGCAAAACAAAGTTTTTATGGATGATGAGATAAAGTTAGACAAAACCAAAGACTGTTTCAGGGTTCTTTCCCCAGGAAGCAGAACGGGAAGATCCGTACTTGGGCAGAGTTCAGCACGTTGATGTTTTTCTGGAATCTTACTCAATACTAACTCTATGTTTCTGAGAGGCCATGCACACACTGCACACCCTTCCTCAAACCCTGCTCCTGTACTGAACCCAGCACTAGGGGTGTTGTACAGCCTCTGCTGAACAACATGAGCCACCTGAGACTGGGGGTGGAAATATCCTCCCACCTGAACTGTTCACTTTGAATTTAGAAAGTGAAACACTTGTTTTCTGCTACCCTTACTTGGGACTGTATGTCCCATTAAATATAAATGAGAGCTGATTTTTTGAGTTCCCTCAATTATTTAGTAAGTACTTTAGGAATTGAGCCTTCAAGCCCAGATAAGTAACAAGAACTGTTTGTTTATTTTTAACACCCATCAGTTACTGCTGGAAATACTACTGGGCATCCATGGCTGCTTGGTTATTGTTTTCTTTTTAGCATAAACCAATAGCGCTATAGCTACTACTTTAATCCCACATACCTGAAAAAAACTGTACAATTTCTTCTTTACTACAGCCAAATGGGAGTCCTCTAAGACGTACAAAACCATCATTAGCTGTATCAGGGCTGTTGGGACCAGTATGCTTCAGAACCCAATCCATTTCAACGTTGTTTGACTTGAAAACTGTAAAAGGCACTTAGAATTAATGCATTCTGGAATATGCAACAGTTGTAACAGCCATTTGCCTTGAAACTAGTCAAGTTATGACATACAAGTCCACTTGTCCTTTCACATGCATTTAAAAGAAATAAAAGGCAATTAACCAAAAACCCATTGAGCACAAACACATTTAGTCAGTTACAAAACCAACTGAGTCAAACCTTCAACATATCTGTGTCCCATTGTTTCTCTGTCTTTTTTAAGAGCCAATTTCACATCCTCCTCTGATTCGAGTTCAGCAAATGCTTCTCCACTTGGTCTGCCCTCCCTGGTGTAGATGAAACGGATTCCCAAAGCCCCATTCAGAATCTTGCAATCTGGAATTGAAAAAGGAAGGCCAAAATTGATTTAATTGTTACAGAAACACTGCAATGCTCTTTACACACTGTAAAGTGACTACAAGTTTCAGACATTCTGAAAGGAAAAGACTAACAACTACCATGTTATATCAAGAAGACAAAGCCAGCAATATTCTAGTTCTAATTTTGATAGTGACCAAAGGAATAACTAAAATCAAGTCACTCTTCTTGCAGACTCTGAGAATTAGCAAAACATGAAGGATAAATGCAAATTAGCTGTTTTCGAAGGTTTACTGCCTCAAGTCAAGTTCATGTGTTGGCCGTAGCTGATATAAGACTTTCTCATCAGCATGAACTGAAGCAAGAAGTAATATCAATCAACAGAAGTGTAATGAACTGAATGAGAACAAAGTCCAATACACCAAATTCCCGAGGCATTTTAAGATCCCCAGCCACTGAGAAAAGTATGTATTTATCACAGCTGTTTACTACTGTAAAACGTTAGTCATTTACAGAATGTTAATAATTAGGAGGAAGTACACAACACATTGAGCACTTCACACAAGACATCCTATTACGACAACATCAAAAACTAAATCGATTAGTTCAATCAAATTTCGAAGTTTTCTGAGAGCTTCTTTCTTCATGCTGCTCAGGAAACTAAGGCAGCTGTGCATATCCCAGTGACTTGATGACTGAGGTCCTTTATGTCTAGTTCCTGCTGTCTACAGCATGGCTTTCCACACCACGTCCTAGCTGAGGCACCTTCTGCATTACAAACTTTATCAGCTACTGAAATTCCCTAAACACTTTTTGGAACTGTTCACTGCAGCATTCCCACTACCACAGCATCCCCAGGAGGAACCCAGGATTGACAGCCCAGCCCCTCATCCCCTCGCAGTTCTGCTTACCGGAGAAAAACCTCTGCACCTCCTCAGTGGAGCAGGACCAAGGCAGCCCCCTGACCTTCACCACATATCCCTCACTGCTCTCCGTGTTCAGCATCACATTGGGGGTGAGGCTTGGCTCCGTCTCGGTTTCAGTGGTTGCTAGAAGAGCAAAACAGGCCCCTTGAGACGCTGCACAGCACGGCCGCCACCCGCACCCCCTCAGAGCGCCCGGCGGCCCCCCTGACCTGTGCCCACCCACCCCCGAGCCTCCTCTACCTCGGACCGCTGCCCACCTCACACACACAGAGCCGCTCCCGCCCCCCGGCCCGTGCCCAGCCCCCGTCCCCGCACGCACACATGGTGGGGCTCCGCGGTGGTTTTAGGGCTCCGAGCCTGATCCGCTGTCCGGAGAGCGCCTAGTCCCAGTCAGGCGGCAGCGAGCGGGCGAGCCTGTGGCGAGAGCGCGCTAGGAAATGGCGGCGGGTACTCCCGCTTCCGCTGGGCCGGGCCTTCCGCCGCACAAAGAACCCAGGTCAAAGACACCTCTCTGGTGGGCCCAACGACTCACAGTCCCCGCGGACGCGCACCGTGGCCAGCAGAGGAGCGGCGTGTGGCGAGCGGGACCGCGAGCTGCCCCTGCGGCGACCACCGGCTCCCGAGCGGGGCTGCGGCGTGGCTGCGGGGCGCATGCGCGGATACACGCCGAGTGCCCCTGCCCCGCCCGCGCATGCTCCACAGCACCGCGCCACTCCGCTCCTCCCCCACGGTTACGCATGCGTCCTCACTAATCTCTGGTTCCCCCACCCCCCGCCCTGCTCCGTGCGCATGCGTCGCCTGCCTGCCCGCTCTCAACAAAGCCATAGCGCGCACTACCGCGCACAGCGCGGGCCGGGCCTGCGCGCATGCGCCTCAACGCCGCTCTACACACACTGCCCGCGGCTCCCACCTCCCTCCGCCTCCGCCCTCCCTCCGGGGCCGCCGGTGTGCGGGGTAAGAGGGGAAAAGGAGATGGGGGGGACCGGTACCGACATTCGCCATCGGCACGGCGAGCGAGTAGTCTGGCTGAACAAAGAGATGTGCGGGAACTAGCACTTACCAGCTTCAAATGCTGACGCTACCCCACGTGAAACAATCTGCTCGCTTCGGTCACTGAAGCCTGGTGTGTTTGTAGGAGATGGGGAAAGAAGAGACATGGGTCACAATTATCATAAGAGAAAGGAAAATATAACTCCCTCCCATCTCCTCCAGACACACCAGACCTAGCTAGGTTTCACCCTGAACCTCATTATCATACACGCAACATGAAGGTACAGAAATAACTGCAGCAGTGCAACCTCAGCTTAAACCTCTTCTAAAAATCCTCCTTTTTTTTTTTTTTTTTTTTACCCTAGGAAGAAGACACAGCTTCAGCCTGTCCATACGGGTAATGGAGAATCCATCTGTGCCAGGAGTTTAACAGACTCGAGATCAGGCATGCCCATACCGACACGGGGATTTTGGAGGCATGAAGCAAAGCTGCCCAGTGTGGCATCTAACCCTGCACTGCGCTGGCTGAGCTCCCTTCCCCATCGATACCAAAACTGATAAACAGCCCTAAGCTAAACCACATGGCCTCACTTCTTGTGTAACTATGCAAAATGTTAAATATATCAATACAGGTCAGCAACAACTACCTCCCCCCAGAGCTGGAGACTTTTTGGAAGAAGGTGAGGGAGGGGCATTCTCAAGTTTGTCTCTAAATCAAACAGAAAACTCGTTAATGCAAATGAAATCACTAAGTGGGACCTCTCTCTATCGTAACTTCCTCAACAGAGCAGCCCTGCTTGATTTCACTCGCTAACGCCAGTTTTAAAAGCCCTGAAGGCAGCAGAAGCTCTGAAAAGGCGGCCGGGCGGGAACGGCGGCGGAAGGGGCAGAGAACGCCTCCGCCTCTTCCCGGGGAGTGGTAGCGGGAGGGGGCCATCCCGCCCACCAGTTGGCGGGAGACTTAAAGTGGGCTGGAACAGCCGGGAACGCTGAGTGCTCCCGCCTGGTGCAGCCATGTCCACCCCGGCCAAGCGACACTGCCACAGCACCACCGGCTCCCTCGACTCCAGCTTCCAGAAGCGCCTCAAGAAGATTTCTATCGAGGGTAACATCGGTGAGCACAGAGACGGGGAGGGGGAAGAACCAGCGCTTGTGGCCGTTGGGATCGCAGGACAGGCCACCCTGAGGTGGCGTGGGCAGTGGGGGAGGCGCTGTGGGAGAGGGGCGCTGAGGGCCCTATTCCACCCACCTATACAGGAAGGCGGGGGGGGGTCCTGTTGATCCGAGACCGGCTCCCGGCGCCATGGCCGGGGTACGGGAGCGTCCGTTCCAGCGAGGGGGAAGCGCTGGCGTTAACGGCCGTTGGGTGTGCTCCGAGGCGGTAACCTCCGGGCACACAAACACAAAGGCCCCCCGGGGACCGAGCGCAGCGCCCCAGCTCAGTACTGCGCCACACGCGCCGCGCATGCGCGGAGCCGTTCTCCCGCCGCTGCTCGGCGATGGCGCGCACTGAGCCCCGCCCCGGCTCCTAAGATGGCGGCGCAAGGCTCCACCACGGCCTTTATCGGCTGCCTGGCCCCGCTGCGGCCTCCTGGCGACAGCGATTACAGCCGTTTTCTCGGAACGTGCACCTGCAGCACGGTGCAGGCAAATCAAACATCCCCTCCCCTGCCCCGGGCGCCGTGCAGCTCCACACCAGAAACACCATGGCCGCATTGCCTGCGGCCTCCTTCACAAACCTCACGACTGCCCGTCTAACACCAGTCTAACCTGCACCCCCAGTGAGCTTTTCCCATCTTCTGCAGCTGCAGGGAAGTCAACGTTTGTCAAGCTACTAGAGAACCACAGTGATGAGTGGGAGATCATCCCCGAACCCATTGCCAAGTGGTGCAACATCCAGACAGCTGAAGAGGAGCATGAGGTAGGTGTGCTGCTCTGGGGAGCTTGGGCAGAGAGATGGATCACACACTGCAGTGAACAGCCAGGGAGCCATACCAGAATTTAGCTATCCAGTCATCCCCACTATCATACACCAACTGGCCAGACAGACTGTAAAGGAAGATACTACTGAATCCAATTCCAAATAACCCCTACTCAAGGCAAAAGAATAAAATCCTGTAAATATGCTGGTATTAAATTTTCTCTTGTCCCCCAGGAACTTTCAACATCTCAGAAGAGCGGAGGGAATCTACTCCAAATGCTCTATGACAAACCCACACGATGGGCTTACACATTCCAGACTTATGCCTGCCTGAGCAGAGTGAGAGCACAGTTAAAACCTGTCTCAGCCAAACTTCAGGAAGCAGAACACCCAGTGCAGTTCTTTGAGAGATCTGTGTACAGTGACAGGTAATTACTCTCACAATGCACAAGGGTTTAGATTAACAGCTCCAGGTCTTTATGACAAAGATCTGGAGCTGGGAAAACACTCAATATTAAACTATAATCTGCAAGGAGCAGGTTTGATTCAACAGTGGGAGGTGGATGGGACTCAGAGTACTTCATGAATGACAGAGTAGGCAGCTGCATGCATTTAAGTATCACTATTCTGATTCAGTCAATTTTAGTAGTTCCCTTTGGTCATTCCTGGCCTGAGACTAATGTCCTTCTTTGCAGATATGTATTTGCTTCTAACCTGTTTGAGTCTGGAAACATTAATGAAACAGAGTGGGCTATTTATCAGGACTGGCACTCATGGCTTTTGAATCAGTTTGAATCAGATATAGAACTGGATGGCATGATCTACCTAAGAACCACACCTGAGGTAGGTTCACTAAAGATGAAATAATAAGAACTAGATGTTTAGCTGAAGTGGCTCAAGTTAAAATAACTTTTTAAAAGGCAACCAAAACTAATTTTAGATGTAACTTATGTTCAGCCAAGCATTTAAATCAATTGTAACATCTAACATTACTCTTTCCAATTTAAGGACCATTTAATCTGTTCAGTTGATTTAACCTTTAACACATGATTAGTATTTGGTCTTACACTTTTTTCCTCCCCCCAGAAATGCATGGAAAGGCTACAATTGAGAGGAAGAGAGGAGGAGCAAGGAATTGAACTTGAGTATTTGGAAAACCTCCACTATAAACATGAAACCTGGCTTCACGAAAGGACTATGAGGTATGAATCCATTTTCTATAGGCAAGTTTCAACTTACAGGCAAGGCTCTTACCTGTTTTGTGCTGAAGCTAATTAGGGATAAAACTAAATTTAGACCCATTCCAGGTTTTTTGCCACAGAGATACTGGTTCTAGGTTCCATGCAGAGGGAAACTTATCTTGGCAAGAAAGTAAAAATTGCCAAGAGATGGAACTTCATCTGCTTTAAAGCCTAGTTAAGCATTAGCTTCAACTCCAGCAAGGATATGCTTTTTGTTAACTGGAAGTACACAGGAATACAACAGAGCTGAAGGGGTGTTCAGTCACTGTTCACCTAAGTTACCCACTTAGCAGGTTCTCATTCCAATGTAAGGGAGGGCAAGGTCCCAGCTAGCTTTCAACTAGAGTATATTTCAACAAGGGTTAAATATTAATCCTAGCTTCAAAATAAACAATGAGCAGAAAGGCTTTTGGCAGGCACTAAGCAAGACAATCAGCAACTAAGTCATCTCAATATACTTTCCCACCCCAGCTGCCTTACTCTTACTAGTTTCCCCAGCCCAGGCCTCTCAAAATAGGAAGCAGATTATACTTCTCCCTTGAGAAGCCTGGAATGCTCTACTGAATGGGAAGCATAACAATTCCAGGAAATGTTATCAGTCACATCTACTTTCCTAAGCTTAATGTAGGACAACCCAGACGCTTAAGAGACAAGAAGGCACTGCATATTGTGGAATTCTGGGACCATTTACCTTGTATATTCATTTCAAGCTCATGAGCAAGCATTTCCTACATTTTTCAGGAACATTTAAGTCTGTAAAACACAAGTTACAATAGAATGGTGGTTCTGCACACATACTGCATTTTAGAAATGCTTTTCACACCTACAAAGAGAGAGTAACTACTGCTTTAAGGGAACAACCATCCAGTTGCACAACTACTGCTCCCATCTGCTTGTAGCCAGAATAGTCTTATCTCCCAGCCATTTTAAATACCAGTCTTAGAACTTGTTTAAGAGGTCCTCCCCACAAAAGGAAACTTTAAAACTGCATCTTAGTAAATGGATTAGTAGTTAGTTAACTAGACTGGGAGAAACACAGGGCAATATTAGTTTTTTTAAATGCTCTTCCCAAAATCATAATGCTGATAATTGATTCCATAGCAAAAAGAATGGAGCAAATGAAGTTAAGGTAAGAAGCTTAAACCATCTCTTCTACCCTACTTGTACAATAAAAATAGATATTAAAAGGCCAGATTTGTGAACTACATTAGTTAGAGTAATACAATGCTGACTGGGTTGTATAAGAGCAATTAAGGACAGGCTTATACTTAAGTCCTGGGATCCAGTACATGTGGTAATCTGAGTAATGCTGCACCCTTAGGATGACTTGGAAAGCAACCAAAGAGCTAGACTGCTTTATACACACTGCTTTATACCATTTACTAGCATTACGTTTCTCATTTAACAGAGTTGACTTTGAGAACCTTAAGGAGATTCCCGTTCTAGTTTTGGATGTTAATGAAGATTTTAAGAATGACAAGATTAAACAGGAGTACCTGATCGATAAGGTGAGCATTAAATAATGTTTCCTCCTATCTGCTTTTCATCTGCAGTCGTAGCTTCAGGTTATCAAATTACATTTTTGAACTGCATGAAGTGCTTGTCTGGGGCTAGTATGGTCAGTCTCCTTCACAGACTTAGAAAGTTACATGGCTGCAGAAAAGGCTTTTCGCTTTTCTTCATGAGGAATTGTGAGGATAAGGAGGTGGCATTAAAACAACTAAAGGGAAAATTGTTTTTAAAAGGGGAGCAGTTGCAGGGGATCCAAGTACACAGCAGCTGGCTTAGTCAGACTACCCCCTGCCAAGTCTGTGCTGCCACACTGTTCATTAAGTAGTTCACAGAATGATACTGTCCAAGTTCTGTCAGCCATGATGTCCTCAGAGAATCCTGCAGTCAGCTTAGAGCTGACTCAAGGGATCTATGGTCTTCCTGGACTGAGCGCAATACATCTGACTCGCAGAGATAACTAAACCTTTTACATACTTCTCAATGCCTTAAGTGACATTTCTAAGAAAAGCTGGGAGGGAGGGTCAACAGCCATTTGAGGGAACAAGGTGATAATAATTACATCACTTGACTCAAAATGGTGTTTGTTAGGTAAGAGTTAGGAACTAAGTGCCTAAAGGAGTGCTGCTGGAGGCATGTGCTGTGTAGTACCTAGACCACACCAGATCAAACCCTAGCCTCCCAATATTTAAAGGCATGGGGCTCATCTCCAGTCTTCCAAGGAGAGCTGCAATATTAGTTATTATCCCGGGACACATTACCTTTTCTTTACCACTGCCCCAACAAGACTGTTCTTGTAAGATGGACAGAAGTACCTTACTCCCAAACTGTACAAACCATTTTCTCCATCTTGTTGTGTGTCATCCATTTGAGATTACTGAAGAATGACTCCTTCAAGTCAAGCCTAATTCCTCCAATTAAGTATTTCTATATAAACTGGAAAGGGGAGCACAAGATTCAGTTGTGGAGGTATTTGTTGTTACATTATATCCTCATGGACACTAACAATTAACATCTTACAATTATGAGCCAGACTACATACACTCATTACATGCTTACTCCCCTCACATGCAGTATATGAAAGGTCAGCTCCACTCTCAGTTTGGGGCAGGGGTACTGTACCATGCTTAAAGTTCTGCCTGGTAGTTGGTTTAGTTTTCAGACAATCCCTCTCTTCATAGGCAAGAACTACCTAATGAAGTAAAACTCATTTTTCTTTAATGAGGTAACATTCCATAAAGCATTCCAGAAGCTGCCTTTCAGATGTACCTGTTATTTTAGAATAATTAAAGTCAATTCTACCTAGACAAATCTCAGGCTGTCACATGCTGTACTGAAAAACATTTCACATCATGAATTACACAGAGAGAGGCAGAACAGCACTAGGGACTGTTGCAGACCATTTGTTCGCTAAGAACAAATTGGGAAAAGCCTAGTGACTTTTCTAATGCAGCAAATATATTTGCTTTCTGTTTTCACAGGTCAAGTCTTTCCTGACTTCTTAGGATGATGAAAATTGATTTGAATGTCAAGTTCTTGAAGGTCAAGAGTTACACTTATCAATCAGCATGTTAATTTAAACTGAATGCATCACATGTATAGCTTATTTTAAGGCAAGATCAAAATGCAAAGGATGGTTTGGTTGGGATTTTTGCTAGTCTTACCTGTGCAGGTTTTGACATAATTTTCTGTCTAGTTAAACAAATATGGAATGCTTTGATAATATATTTTATGTCTACTCTTTGCTGTTTATAATAAATTAATACCGACTAAAAACTGGCTTCAATAACAGAGGAGTTAAGCTGTTGCCAGCGGCTGACACAGCAGCACACAGGCGAGAGGCACTGAGGCAGAGTTGTTTTGCAATAACTGGCATAGTTCACCATTTTAAGACGAGACTGTTATGGCGTCCACAAAGCTTTACTTTCAACTTCTGCTTTATTGAAGGGCTCTTTTCACAGCACTTGCACTACTTAGTGATGGACGCTACTGTAGTCGCAAGGGTTACACCTGTAACGAGCTGCAGTTCACACATCTCTCGTTTACCACCACCCCCCGAATAAACAAATTCCCCTCCTCCATTTTCCTCTCACTCCCCGCCCCGTGACAGCAGGGAGCAGGCGGGGAAGGACCCGCCGGCGCTTGCACCGGAGGCGGCAGCGGGACAACGACCCCGCAACCGCCCTCCCCTCCCCCGCCCGAGCGCAGCCGCCGCCCCGAGGCCCCGCCGAGCTCCGCGGCCGCCACGACGCACGCGGCGGGGGGAGGGGAACGGTTGGGCGCACGCGGCTGGGCCAGACTAGGCCTAACCGCCCCCCTTATCCCCCACCTCCCGCCGGGGTCGCGCCGGTGGCGCTGTGCGCGGCCTCCCCCCGCCGCCAGCAGGCGCCAAGGAGGGGCTCGAAGGCGCCGGGGCCCCGGATCGGGTGGAACCGGCCGCCCCACCCCCATCCGCCCCACCTCCCGCTTTCCCCTCGCCACAGCCACCACCCCACCCCACCCCCCCCAGCCGGGCCTTACCCAAGCCGGGGATCTCGCCCTCGGTCTCCTCAGTGTGACAGGGGTCCATCTTGGCCGCGCCTTTCCCCACAGGGGCCGCGAGAAGACAAAGCTCGGTGGGGGCGCTCGGGAGCTGCGCAAACGGAAACAAAAGCTCAGCGGCCGCCGAAGGGACGCTCCAGCGAGCCCGGATCGAGGCGTTTCGGCCGCTTCTTCCCTGCGCTCACGGGGATGCGGCACGATGAACCCGCGGCCTTCCCCCGGCCCAACCCGCCTGCTCGCTCCTGCGCACCGGCCCCTCCGAGCCTATAAATAGCCAGCGGGCGCGCTGCGCGGCGCGCTGACGTCACGCAGCGCCCGCCCCTGCCCCTGGCAGCCAATGGCAGCGTGACAAATTGAACCAGCCAGTCACGTCCGGCGCTCTTGCGCGCAGAGGGCGATGCGTAAGGGAAAGGGGGGGGGGGAGGGGGGGGAACGGCCGCCCCGGGGGGTGTCTCGTAACGGCTGCGGCGGGGACTGGCGACACGACCTCCCCCAGTGTCCCTCGGTAACCCCGGTGCCCGCGGCCCGGTCCGGCGGGACAGGCGCGACCCCTCTGCTCGGGGACCCGCCTTCGGGTGTTTCGCTACCCAAACCGCAAACATGGCGGCGGCTTTGTCCCTCCCGCCTGCCCCGCCGCGCCGATCGCTCCCCACCACCACCCCCCCGCCCCTCACCAGCTCCCGGCTCACGGCAGGCTGCGGCCCCGGCGCTCCGGCGACCAGCGGGGATCGGCGGCTCCGCGCACTGCAGCAACGCCCGCCGCCGTCAGGTGGGCCGGGCTCCGCCTCCCGCCGCGCCGGGGTAGCCGGGGGGAGTGGACACGCACGGGCACGGCGGGGCTCGGGCCCCCTCCCGAGAGGCTCTGCCTTGATCCTCGGGCCGCTCCGCTGGGGTGTAGGGTCACTGCCAGCCCCGGAGGCGGCGGGGGAAGGAAGGCGGCCTGCGGGAGGCCCTTGGGAAGGGGCTGCCTCGGAGTCCCCCGCAGTGCTGACAGTGAGGATGCGAACCGCAGCGGGCGAAAACCTGCTAAACCTTGACCCAAAGCGGCTGTCTGTGGGTTTGTTCGGGCTCGGGCAGGTTTATTTGTAGGATCTCCGCCTGGGAATCACCGGGCAGGGTGGTTCGAATGGCCGGTGCACCCTGCAGTCCACTCACCCTGAGCCTAACCAGACCAATCCCCTCTTCAAAATGTTGCCACAAAGAATCATTAGCTAAAACAACTAGAGAAAAACTGTAAGAGAGCCAGTGCGATGGAACAGATAAGTGGTGACCTTCGGACTGCGGAGGTGTGGCGTCTGTTCACAGCTTCGTTTCTGAGTGGTTTGTGTAAAGCAAATCCCTTTGCTAACCCCTGTTGAAGCCTTTGCATTTCCAACAGTTAATTATAATTTTTGTTTTCTTCTAATGTATATTAGTAATCATACACCGAGGTATATCTACTCTGGGTCATTTTATTAGTCTGATTGGTCTTTTTAGTCCCCATTACTGCATTTGAATAATGACGGAAAATGGGTTCTCTGTTGTTTACGCACGAAGATCCACGTGATTCATGGCTTTGAAGTGGGCTGTACTGGCTGGTTTCTTGCTATCTAATGTTCTTAGTTTTCTTATCTAAATAAAGCCTGGTTTGCCCAGTACTGTCTCAACCATATGTTTGTTGTGGTCAAACAGCATTCTGACATAAATTTTCTTTTTAGAGGCCTCTCAGGAAATGAAAATCATCCTATGCTTACACTGGCATGAAGTTCTGCTGCAGGCATATTCTTCCAGTGTTAGAGGAAAGATCATATGACTTCTTTGCAAGTACGTAATTGCTACTAAGTGTAGGCAAAATACCTGCCTGCTCTGAAACTCAACACAGCAACAGGATGTTGGGTACAGCCATGTCTCGGAGAAGAATGTGGCTGTGAACAGAAGCAAACAAAGACAGAAATAGTTACCAGAAGAGTTATTATTAGCCAACATATAGGCAGTGCTTGAAAGATGAAAATAATTAGCAATTCAAGTGGAGTTACTGTTAACAGCATCAGCCCTTCTCCTGAGAGGCCATCTCTGGTTAGTGTTTTTGCAAGTAAAGGCAGTCACATGTGGTATGTGAACACTTGCAAAGTGTGAGATAGAGGATAAAAATGTTGCTGGAAGCGTCTAATGCAGGATTTTATTAGGTTTCTTGAGCAAGGAAATTACTGTGTAATTTACACATGTAAACTTCCAGGTCTTGCTTCCATGATTTCTTCTAGGACTCCGGCATCTTTAGTTTACCTGGCTTTTTTGTTTTATGGTGCCAACCTGACACGTCTACCTTCCTCTCCAGCAGACACAGCTGAGCTGTGGTGTGTCTGTCAGCATGTCTGTCAGCAACTCACGCTGCAGCTTCAAGTACTTTTTTTTTTCTCTGAAAGTGCTTTGTTCTACTTCAGAATTTCACTGGCCTGTTCCTGTGAAGGGGAGAAGAACACCTGCCATGGAGGCTGCTGGGGACAGGAGCTGCCCTCATGTTCCCACTTGCATTCCCAGAAGATAAATTTCACCTTGTTCAGCCCTGGGGACAGCTGTAACCTAAGCCAAGCTCAGCTTGCTGGGTTTTGTGTGGTCCATCTGGTAAAAAACGTGCAGAGCCGAGCCTTCCTGGGTAGAAATCTGCTGGAGAAATAATCTGCCACAGTCACACAGGCCTTGTGCAACATCCCCAGTTCCCTCAGACTTCATGGTGACTGGGGCTGGGAGCAGAGACCTGCATCAGGAGAGGATGAGCACCAGTCCACCCTGCAGAGAAATATGTAAAGCTGAGTACAGATGTGTTGTGGTTTAAGCCCAGCTGGTAACTCAGCACCACTCAGCCACTCGCCTCCAGGCAGGATGGGGAGGAGAATGAAAAGAATGTAAACCCCATGGGTTGAGATAAGAACAATAACGAAAGTATAATACAAAACTACTACTAATAATAATAATGATAAGGAAAATAATGAGGGGAGAGAATATAAAACTAAGTTTGGGTCAGGTGTCCTGTCTCTGCTTCTTCCCCGCTTCTTATGCCCCTCCTCACTGGCAGAGCATGAGACTGAAAAGCCCTTCATCAGAGTAAATGTTACCTAGCAACAACTAAGCCATTGGTGTGTTATCAGCATTGTTCTCAGACTAAAGCCAAAACACAGCACTGCACCAGCCTCTAGGAAGGAGAAAAATAACTGTCACAGCTGAACACAGAAAAACATGTATAGCGTTAAGCTGGACTGAAGTAAAGCTGTTCCTTGAAGCCTGCTCTCCTCCCTGCTCAGGACATTTCTCTTTGATACCAGTCATAAATCTCTATTTGTTTGCTTGCTTAAGTTCCTTTTCTGGAGGGCAAGAAAATCACAGTATCTACAGCTCCGGTTAAAGGGTTTTACAGGCATCTAATTGTATGAAGACACTTTGGGTCTCTGGAAATTATGCAGATGCTGATTTCTGAGTAGGTTTTTGAGACATTATTGCAATGCAAAAAAATAATTACTAAAAATTCTCTTATGGGTCAGCATTTGCCATTTCAGGGAGAACAGTGACCAGAGTTTAAATACTTGCTCTGAAAAGATGACAGAACTCATTATCCATCACCCTGACTCCATCGCTTTCTGCGCCTTCCCTTTCTCTCTTTCCTAAGTAGATGTTATCCATTTGTTCCTCTGCTTCTGTCATAAGCTTCATCCTTCATATCTCATCAGCTGCGTGTTACATGTTTCTCACGTTTGCATATACGCATAATTCAGGGTCTTGCAGGTAATCTGCAAACCTGATTAACTCAACAAATACAGCTAGCAGCTGACTTGCTTTATCATCTGACGTCTGAAAACAGGGAATGTAGGGAAGTCTTACACTACCAATGGTTTCTAAGTTTCTCTGTGAATGTGACTCCCAGTCAAAAGCCCTTGAATTCAATCATAACCTTTCTGTCACTCCCCATGGCTCTAGAAACAGCCTCTAGGTGTGATGGTGCAACAAATACAAGCTAAACAGCTATTAAATATGTATAATGTGTGTTCTACCATATTAGGTAACAGGGCCACCTTCGTCATCTTCTATGCTGCAAATTCCCAGCTTTGATAATGCACCCTCCCTCTTACTTTTGCTTTGGGTAATTTAAGAGTTCTTTTGGTTACACTTCACCTTTATTTCTTCATTTTCACTTTTTTGTCTCTTTATTCATTACTCTAAAAATGGCGGTCTGCAGCAATGACTAGGCAGAGCTTGTATTTCCCACATTTCCTAAGCTGTAGTTCATTAAGAACCAAGCCAGTCTGGAAGCCAGTCGGAGAGGTTGATGGACACTGCTCTAGTGAAAAAGCAGATACCCAAGTCCCTCTTTCTCTCTGAGACCACTGTTGTACTGTTTGACTCTATCACCCTTCTCTTATACCACCAGCTTATCCACAGCATATGCTCACCATCGTTGTCACTATTATAATGGAAGATTGCCTCTCTTCAGCTCCCTTGGTGGTCACAGGGTTTCATTGGGATTTCACCTGTCTGATGCTTTTCTGCTCATTACGGTAACTCAGGCCTCTTACTGTTCTGGTTCTGCAACATTATCATTATGGCAGTTGGCAGAATGCCTTTGCTTTTTACCAACAGAGCTAGCTGCCTTGCTGTGAATGCAGTTACATCGGTAGAAGTGTCTTCTACCAGCTCATTTTAGGTATCTGCATGTTTCGGCTGACTCTGAGCTAGGTGGGCATGAGTCAGCTCTGATCCAGAAGCCATCTGGCTGTGCAGTGCTGTACTGAGCTCATCAGGCTGCTCTCAGAGAAGGTTTCTTTACTCAGGCAGAAGGTTTTCAGCTCTTTGGCAGCTCAGCCTTGTACCCACCAGGAGAGAGGTGGCCAAGTGTTCATTTGCATCCCTTGCAATAAGCCTTGTCTGCATTTCCTTATGTCCTCTCAGAAGGAGAATGAGCTGTAAAGCTGTGAATACTTCACAGTGGGGTGACTGAGTCCAGACTTGGGAGAGCTGCTGTGATATCTGTGGCAAAGCAGGTAACACAGTGCCTGAGCTCTTGTTATTCTGAGTCACCTGTGTTTGTGAAACGGTGCCTATTTTAGCCACTCACCAAGGGCAGGCTCAGGAGCAGTGACCACAGCAGCTCACTGTTTTTGTCCTTGCTGACATGATGATCCCAACTTCCACCCCTTGCGGGTAACATTGTTGTAGCTGTTTGGAGTCACCCAGCTTTCTCTTGTCAAGTCCTACAATGTCAAAGCTGAGGCATATGCTTAGGCACAGATCCTATTTGAGTGCTCCGAGTCTTCAACTGCTGACCCTACTTTTGCTCTTCCTATTTTACCTTTAGCTCTTAGACTCTGGAAATCAATCCCTGAGCACAGTCAGGCACAGCATCAGTGAGGGCTGGAGCTGGGCAAGCTCTTTCCTAAGCTACCACAGAAAATATGCAAGTTTTCCATTGGAGGGAGTGCCTTCAGGAAAGAGCACATTAAGCCCTGCCCACCTTGTATTATACATTGTGACTCTGCTCTTACCAGGAAAAGGGGAAATTCTTAGTGCTCTCTTACAAGAAATAATTGCTGGGAGGTATAAAACTGATGAAGATAAAGCAAACTGTGGATTTTCCTGGCCTCCCTGTCTTGACCCCACATATAAAGTGGCAGATAGTTTTGGTTTTGTTTGGATTTTACCCCACTATCTAACCCAAGAATGACTTACTGCATAGGGCCGTGACCTGTGCTAATGTAAAGGGCAAGGGGCCTGTGCTCACAGACTTGTCTGAAGCACCCTGCAGTCCATCCATGGCTTCATCTCTGCTGCAACACTGTGGCATTCAAACCAAACAAAAGTGCTCTCAAACCACAGGTATGACACAAGTCAGCCACAGTCACACTCTTCACCTCAGCCCACTGCAGTCTCTTCAGTGAGGGCTGTGCTGTTGCACCTACACCCTCAATTCCCCTCAACAAAGCACTCCTATCTCTGCTCCTGCTCTGTTGCACACCCAACGGATCTGAGTGTCCACATGTATACTCAGATCAAGAGGGTTTTGGATCTTCCTGCCCGTAATGCCCTTCTCAGTGTTGCCACTGATGGATATATAGTTCAAAATGACCATATTGCAAGCAGACAAGCACTAAAATGCTGTGATGTTGACAGCAAGGCCTCTGCAGACTCAGCACATAAAATGGGTCACTAGCATGGTTATTTCTGTTACACAACTCCAGCCTACCTTTCTTTTTCCTTGCCCTTGAAGTCATCTGAATGTAAACAAGTAAAATTAAGACAAGGGGTAACAAAATCAGGATGAGGAATGGCAAGGGGAAAGTAAAGTGTCCCACAGTACTGGTCTTTAGCATCCTCACAGCGCCAGCCGGCTGGCTCCCCAGAGCTCTGATCCTGGAGCTGCTGCAGAAATAAAGACCCATTGAGAAGTCTGGCTCCAAATTAGCATCTGAATTCCCTTGTAGCCTGTTGTCAGATGGGCAGGAGGTGGGTGCTAGTCTCTCAGTACTGATACACAACGGTGGCTTTAAAAGGTCCTTATTTTTCTGAGGCAAAGAAATACATTGCTGAACTATGGACACTTTGTGTTTTCCTGGTTTTTTTCCTCCCTTCCCTCTCCCTTTCTCCTCGGTTTCACTCCCTTTCCTGGATCAGGCTGAGCTGTAGATAGACACGTCTGGGTATTGTTAGCCCTGTCTGACCTACTTCTTTCTCTCCCCTTGGCCTTGTGTTATGGATGCTGGTGCTATGGAAACCTGGGTGACATGCCCCACAAAGCCAGGGCCACCAGCTGCACCCTCATCTCCCAGCCCCACAGGATCTTCCCTCCCAAACACATCCACAAGGAAAGTGGTGCTGCTTCCCAGGGAAATTCAAGGATGTGCTCCATCCATCCCACCAAGCTGTACTCTGGAGGGACCAGGGTGCTCTTCCTTGGGCTCAGGTGTGGTTTTACCCCAGCCCCAAGGCACAGTGCTGGGGTCCACATGTAACCCCACTGCTGTCTGCACACCAGCCCTGCACAGGCCATCACATGATGGGTACGAACTACATGTGGGTGCCCTTGAAGTGTTCAAGATAAAAATAAGCAACAAACTTCAGTGCTGCGGTACCAAAAGGAACCCAGGTAGGTTCCTGCGAAGGCAGGAACGGGAACACGTGTGCCGGTGGATGGCAGCTGCTCCAAAGAGAGCTCTGCATTTGCACTCTCACTCTGCCGCGTGGGAACAAGCCCCATAGGGCTGGAGCTTGTTTACAAGTTCAACATCTGCGTTTCTCCCGATAAAACCGTTCTCGCTGGTTCTGCAGGTTTCCCTTGCGCTCCGCTGGTCTCCCCCCTGCCTGCCGGGGAGGCTGCCGCAGTATCACAGTAGATTTGCTTCCAAGTTATCAGACGCCGAACCTTTTCCTCCCTTTTCCTGACACTGATCTGGCGGCTGTAAGGGGAGGAAGCAGGAAGGAGCCCGGGAATCCATAAAGCTCCTGCATGGGGGCTCTTAATGTCTGTTGTAAGCCGTCTCCAGGAGATTTCTGGGAGGCTTCAAGGCTCCCCCACCCCAATAACCTTGACACGAGGGCCCGGCCCAGCACAAACAGAACCTGGAGCAGGTTTGTGCCCGAGTGCCGCCACGGCCGTGCCCTGTCTGAGAGCTGCGCCGGGCCTGGCTTGGGGTGCACCCAGGGGCGCCCCAGCCTCCTCTCGGGGTGCAGCCACGGCCGGCAGCGGCGCCGACCGCGGCGCCGACCCCGGCGCTCCTCAGACACCCCGTGCTCGGCGGCCGCGTCGCACCAGCGCCCTCTCCCGAGCGGCGGCGGCCGGAGCCCGGGGCGGGGCGGGGCGGAGCGGGCAGCGCTTCCTGCCGGGGCCGCGGAAGGGCCTGGGGACGCCGGGGACAGAGGACGCGGTTTCTCTTCCGCCTCAAGCTGTGGGTGCCGCAGCCGGGTCTCATCCCCGCCGCCATGGCAGCTTGGCCCCCTCAGCCGGTTCCCGCCAAAGCCGGCTCCCCCTCAGCTCACTGGAGCAGAATAAAATCATACAGAACGGTTTGGGTTGGAAGTGACCTTCAAAGCTCATCCAGTCCAACCCCCTGCAATGAGCACGGCGTCTTCAACTAGATCTGGTTGCTCAGTACCACGTCCAGCCTGGGCTTGGATGTCTTAAGGGATGAGGCATCTACCACCTCTCCGGGGAATCTGTGCCAGTATTTTACCACACTTACTATAAAAAATTATAAAGTCCAGCCTGAATCTCCCTTGTTTTAGTTTAAAGCCATCTCCCCTTGTCCTGTTGCAACGGACCCTGCTAAAAAGTCTTTCCCCATCTTTCTTACAGGCCCCTTTTAAGTACTGAAAGGCCACAATAAGGTCTCCCCTGAGTCTTCTCCAGGCTGAACAACCCCAGCTCCCAGCCGTTCCTCATAGGAAAAGTGCTCCAGCCCTTGGAGCATTTTATAGGCCCTCCTCTGGACCCTCTCTAACAGGTCCATGTCTTTTCCTGCCCTGAGGACTGCAGAGCCGGACGTACTGCTCCAGGTGGGGTCTCACCAGAGAAATATCCTTCACCCAGGGCACGGTCCTGGGATGGCGGAGCTGAGGTGGCTCCGTGGGGCAGCCCCAGGCACTGAGGGGACAGCCTTTGGGCCTTCACACCAGCTCGATAGTGGCCCCGGAGCCACCTCCCGCTGGGGTGGCAGGGGCAGGCCCCATGTTGTCGTCGTCGTCTGTCCCGTCCGTCCCCTCCCCCCCCCCCCCCCCCCCTCCCCGCATACCCCCTGCCAGACCAAACCTGGCCCCTCAGCATCACCGCAGGTGTAAGCGGGCAAAGAGGGCTCATACAGTGCTGGGGCACTGTGCTGTGTGGTGGCATTTTGAACTGGGTAAATCCTGCCTGCATTGCTGAGCCACGGCCCTGGGCAAGGTGATTTCCTTGGATTACAGTTATGAAGTAGCAGAGTAATGACAGTGTCCCTGGGTGGAGAGGAGAAGCTTTCCTTCTGCTAGAGGTACCTGAAACGACTCCTCTGACAATTGTCTGAAGGGGATGGTGTGCCGGGAGGTTTTTCTGTAGCAGAACCAGTGACAGTCAAGGCCAGAGCTTGGCTGTGCTGCGACAGGATTGTTAATGGTCCTCTGTGCATCCAAGGGGAGAAGCCAGCTTGCTACAGCCTCCTGCTGAATCATTAACTTCCCTCCTCTGAATCATTCTGCAGCCCCGTCACACACAGAAGCTGGGCCGAGGTGGGAAGAGACTACAGGCCGACACTACAGGTTGCAGAGTAGGAGATGGAGGTTGTGTCTACGGAACCCTTCAGCACCCGCTTGGACTAACCTGAGACATCAGAGGTTTGAAACAGAGTCAGGATCTGCACCGTCAGCTGGGGCTGGTCCTCCTGTACTGACCCTCTGGGAGGTGACTGGTTATGCTGGTAAAAAGGTGAGGACTGAGAATTGACTTCAGGAGATGGTGGGATGTGTTAATGTAAAGGCTAAGAAAAACCTCACTGGGGGCAGGTGGCATGTCTGTCCCTCCCTGGCCTTGCTAAAGCACAGCCAGGGTTAAACAATGTTCAGCCTTTTCCTAAGTGTATTATCAAAGATGCCAGATGTCCTTGTTTATCTTGTGGTGACACCCGGGCGTTCCTGTGAGGATGGGGCCCTGCTGCACTGAAAACTTTGCAGAGACAACTGGTTTACAGTTATTTTTGTATGGATTTAAGCCTTTCCCTGCAGTGTTTGCCAACTTCAACGCAGCAGCACAGCTCCAACGCACGAGCGCCTGAAAGGGAAATGGACTGGGGGCTTTGCTGGCTAAGGCAATTTAAAATGCAGGGTAGGAAATGAAACAATGTAAAAAATTAAGCACTTCTTCCAAGAGAAATACGCCTTTTGTTCTTATAGTCTAGATACGCCCACTGCTGGGAAGGGAGGATGGCTGGCTTTGAAAAGTGGTTAGACTGGCAACATGTTAATGCAGTTATTTTTGCTCTCTGGGTTTGGTGTGGGCCCCCCCCATGACGATGGCACAGAGCACTGCTGGTGTTTTCTGAGCTGTGCTGCTGACATGAGTAGACTGATGGCCAAAAGCATCAGTGTTGTGAATGCAGGGCTCCATGAAAATCCATCCCTTCCTGCCTCAGGAAGCCCAGAGTGGGACCTGAGCACTGGGAAAAACACCCGGTGGGGACCACTGTTTAGTGCTGAGCAGCAAAGATGCCAGTCTCAGACCTCAGATCCTCTGAAAATCAGCTTCTCTCTACTCAGAACTCTCCTCCCACAGGATGTGGGGTTGCAGGCTGTGTTGCACTGCACAGCAGGGAAACTGAGGCAGCCGCCTTGCATTCAAACGTTCATGTTTTTCTCCTGTGTTAACTGCAGACCTACCAAGAGACACCCAGCACAGCAAGCTCAGTGCCTTTTTATTTGTGCATGTTATTGCTCAGCAGTATTCAAAGTAGCACATGCAGTAGTGGTTAGGAGTTTGTGCACTCTGATTTACAGCATCGCCCATGGACAGTGGCTAATAACCATTATAAGGGCACTAACAGACTTTTGCACAACATGTTGGTGGCTGCTCCTGTTTATCCCTCACGTCTTTTGTTACGCCTCAACCCACATCTGGTTGCAAACAAATGCCTTTCTTAGGTGTGGGACTTGGTAAACTGGAATGAACCCACGTTTGGTGCCTGGGCTGGAGGCAGAGCCTCTGGAGGAAGGGGAACACATGGCAGTTCCATAGGGTAACTCACTGGGAAGCTCAAGCTGAGATGAGTTTGCCTTTATGTGTATGGTTTTCCTACAGTTCCCCCTGTTTTGGAGCACTGTTGTTTCCGCATCAGGCATGATGGAGCTGCCAGATATGGAGCACTTGACACCTAGAGTGCCACAGGGGAAAAATACCTCCTGAAGAGCTCAGCCGTTCATGCTGGTGCTTGGCAGCGAGGAGGGAGGTGTTAAAAACTCAGGTGAGGGTGGATTTGTTACTGGGGACTCTGTTGGTTGCAGGCAGTCTGTAACTGTGGGCAGGAGGGAGCAGGACTCGAAGGCAAGGACACTGATGAGGAACAGAGCAGTGAGTCATACTTTGAGAAGGTGGAAGATGTTCAGCCCTATGTAGTAAGAGAGGAAGAAATGCAGGATACCCAGGGCTGATGCTGCAACGAGAATCCAGAGAACTCCGGTGCCAAAGTATATCGGGGCAAGCCTGGTAGGAGAGAGAGAGCCTGTTGAGGCCAAACATCACTGCTGTCACTCCAGAATGGGGTGGAAAGGCAGCCCCTGGCTGTTCCCTGCCTACTGCATGGTGTCCTGTGCCCTGCTCCCACCCCAAAAGAGCACACACATACCCGCAAGGGCTCAGGGCAGCTCCATCCTTGCCCCATGTCTGTGTTTCTGGCCCCAGCCCTGTACCCATGCCCATGTTATGCCCCAGGGAGAGCTTGGCAAGGCTGAGTCATGCAGGGACACCAGAGCAGCCAGGAGGAGTCTGGAGCTTCTCTGAAGCACATTATGTTCCCAAATGCAAACCCCAGCGGTTATCACGTACTCCAGGCTGCCAGAGGTGCTCACCTTTCTGAGGATGATGCCTTGTATCCCATGAAGTAGCGGTAGCGGGCATAGAGATAGACCAGCCCCAAGGCTGCAGCCAGACCTGCAGTTGAGAGAATTCACAGTGACCATCTCCAAAGGCTTTTTAGAGCTGCTTTGAGCAGGTACCCCAAAGTGAAGGAATATAGGCTTTGTTTCCTCTGGCTCCACCACCCCATCAGGGACAGAATTACTGCCTGATTTATTGTTTGGAAGATGAGCAGGACCTGAGGACTGGGGCCGTGCTCAGGGGGACAGATCCAGTGACAAACCAGGTAATGGGCTATTCTCACCTTGATGGAAGAAAAGTCCAGCCTGCCACAGAAGTGCCAGGAAAATGGGAAAATACTCAGAGGAGTTCACCCTGGCAGGAAAGAGGAAGGTCATAAACAAGGGAAAGGAGGAAGATCTGGTTTTGCTTCCCCCAGCAGTTTCCAGATGCTGGAGGCTCTTGCTTCTTAGAACTGACATTGCCATCTTTCTGCACAGCTCCCATTCCACTTTTATTCACATGAATTAAACTGTGGAAGAAACTGGGTCTCCAGGGCACAAGAAATTAAGTCAAAGATGCCCAGGTCAGTCTGTGCACAGAAGGGCTCTATGAACCACCCCTGCTGCCCCTTCCCAAGTGCTGCAGCCCCAAAGCCACAAGGAAGGTATGCTCCAGCAGGCTGCAGACACAGGGTGAAATACGTCTTAAGCAGATAAGGCCAGAGCAGCTTGGGCTTTATGCAGAAGAGAGCAGTTTGCTGTAGGCCATGCCCCATCCCCCCAAAGACAAAGTAGTATGGACAGGAGATGCTGAAGGAGGTTGACTCCAGGCTGGCAAAGGAGCAGAGAAGGGGACGGCTGAAGGCATCCTGCTCCTATTGCCTGGTTGCTTTGCTTTCAGTGCTCAGCTACAGCAGGAGTGGAAGCTTCCTCTCTCTCTGCTTCTCTTCCCACTGCAGCCCTAGCACAGAAGTCACAGCAGAGATGCTGGATCATGTCTGTCCCAGTCCCAGCTCCAGCTGAGATCTCTCTGGGTGCTTGTCATTGCCAGTGAGCAAGGTTCAGGGCAGGGCTGAAGCTTCTTGAGGCTTTGATGCTGCTTGGCGTTAACCAGCCTAAGTCTCAGGCACCGACAACTCTGTCTTTAGCAGCCCTTCACTCTGCAGCAGATTCCTGTGTGATTTCTATCAGCAGTGGCTGGTGTGTTTAGCACTCACATCAGGAGTGTCCTGGTACTCTTAAGCCCATTAACTTAACCCCAAGAGAGGTAATTTAAGAATTACAGTCCTGAGAGATGAACAGCGAAGCGGGGGAGGGCAGTGCCATTAGATGTAAGATCTGACAAGCATCTTGTAAGAGGAGTTTCTTACTGTGCTCGAAAGATCCTCTCAAATTCAGGTGGGCCTGAGATCTTTGGAGGAGAAATGCCAAATGCCCTCCTAGCATAGATCACCTGGAGGAAGAAGTAGGCTGCAGTGAAAGAGAGAAAAGTATCAGTGGTCAGTCCTCTTGCTGGGCATGGTGGGGCAAGGAGACTACCAGAGGTGGGGGCAAAAGATCATGGTCTCCTCCTAACCCTGCACCTCTGCATATCAGAGAAAGCTGGATGAAAATCCCAGATATGTTTCAGACAAGAAAAAGGAATGTCCCAGAACAACAGTGAAGCGAGGAGTATGCATTCATGTACCACCCCCCGATATCTGCTTTCTCTCTTGTGTAATCAACAGGCCATCTATTACCTATAGAAAAGGTTACACAGTTCAGACATACTTTGTTACTGCCAATTTTAGTTTTTTTTCAATCTTTAATGTTTTCCCCTTCCAAGTCTTGATAGCTGAAGAAGGAGGGGACTGATGCCACAGATAAACCCAGATAAACCACCCAGACACTGAACTAAATTGTCATGCAGTGTGAAACCACGGCTGGGAGATGTTCTGTGTGACCCACCACTGCCCGTTCTTCTGCCTTCCCACACTGCAGTACTCTCTGAATGTTGAAAAACCTCAGGAACTGCTGTTAACCCATTTTTCAAAGAGAGAAAATCTGCGTGTTTGCAGAGGAGAAGATCTAGCAAGGTCAGTTCAGAGCAAGGGCTTCACAGGCACTTGTTTTGTTGTATACTTCTCAAAACCCACACAAGATATCGGTCCACTGTCTGAAAACCAGGGAAGTGCCAGTGCAACAGCAGAACTTACATACGTGAGTGAAAGGAAATCAGTGGAGGTACAGTAGACTGACTCGAGAAGTATTTGGTCATGTGCATCTGATGTCCCTACCTTGCTCCAGGACTCCCAGGACTGTCACAGCAGCCAGCAGATGAATCTGATCCAACATATTGACTCTTCCAGACCCTAGAAAATCTGATTTCTTGATCAGAATCTCCTCTGAGCAAGTTTAAGCCTTGCTGATGCAGCAGTCGGCAGTAGTAGCTGGCAGCATAGGTTTGCTGTAATGGAACAGGGAAGGTTTGTACATGTACCCAGGAGGAGTCTGGCTTATTCATTAGCATATGCCTCGAGGAAATGTAAATGGGCAGAGACCAGCCTAATGGAGTTATTTCCGTTCCCATCCTCCCTTTTCAAGGAGTGAGTTACAAGGAAGTGGGAGAGCCAACAGAGGGTGAACATGTGAGAGGTAAGAGGGGAACTGAGAATTGAATGGGGGGACATATCTCAACAGCGTAGCAATCCACCCCCCTGAGGCATCTGGTTTAAAACTGTCTCTAACAAAGGCCAAGGCACATCCGTCCTGCTGATGTTGCATGAGAAACAGCAGCCTCACTTGGGCTGTCCTGTACCACTTCAGCACCAGGACAGGCAGCTTCTCAGACCACACCACTGTGTGTACCGAGCTGGGAAGCACACGTTAGACACTGAATACGTCTCAGACTCTGAGACAGCATTGAATAAAGCCCAAGTGAAAACCCCTCTGCAATGGTACGACAGGATGTCATGACGTATACAAGGTATAGATCTGTTGTGCCTGGTGATAGTTTACTTGGGGATGGGTCAAAAAATGTCAGACACCAAGAGGGTGTTAGAGTCGTCCCTTCTACTGGCAAGGCTGGGAGCTGGGGATTTAAGGCTTCTGATCAATCCTCAGACAAATTAACTCCTATTGTCAACACCAGAGAGAGTTCTTTGTGGGTAAAACCCTGCAGAATGCAGCAGGATATAGCAAAAAGAGAGACACACACATGTCAGGGGAGACGTACTTGGCTAATTCCTGCTTAACAGCACAAAGCTGGCCTGGCTGCGAGCTGCTGGGGCTGTTGGCTTTGTTTCATTCCTCTCCTTTCATTCAAAGAATTTTCCCTTCAGACAGGGAGGAAGGAAAGCGGGTTAAGACAAAGTGATCGTTAAACATCACTATTATAGAAAATGAGATCAGATTAAAGCAGTTTACAGAAATTACATTGTATGCCTGATGTCCTTGATAGACTTTCTGAGAAGCAATAGGCTGGTTCTGGTTTTCTGCCTCTCTCTAAGGGATAAAGGCACTTGAGGAGGCTATAGCAATGTCCCAACTTAGTATTTCTCCAGATATCAAACACAGACACTACCATTTTTCAAGCACCAGCTCTAAGATTAATTCTTTCATCTCAGAATGGATTCTTTTTCATTCCAGTGACTCTTTAGAAATACAAGGGACATTGTGTTTCTTTTTCTCCCATTCAGCTGTTAAAGAAATGAAGGACTCAGCCTTCAGCTGAGTCAGCTCAGAAAGGGCAGAGGTCTCACAGTGTTTAATGACATTTGATTTCCCTCTGCTCCTGTCTGATTACAGCTTGCTAGCAAAAGAAAACATTAAGCAAAACAACTGAACAAAAAGGATCTGGGCTTACACCTGCATCAGATAACAGTGCAGTGTAACCTGCGTCGAAAGTGTCAAATATGTGTAAGGAAACCTGGCCATGAGAGCTTTAAAGGCTGCCACAGAGCACTCCTGCTCCCCAGATCATCATTAGATGCAAAGTACTTCTAGTATCATCTAGCATAGTCTAAATATAATAAAGGCTAGTAGAAACATGAATGAGTACACAAGCACAGATGTCTCTCCCCTCCTTCTTCCTCCCCCATAAGCATAATTTTTCAAGCTGTCTTTACCTCCTGAAGTGCAAAACATTTTTCTTGTCCCTATTTGTCACCATCACAACTTGCCTTATTTTCTGTTCTCATGCTGTTTTTGCAAGGAGCAGACACAAGTAGCCTCCTCCCAGCTCCAAATGCCCTTCAATGATGGGACTATCACCAGTGGATGGACTCAGCATCCTGCAGACCACAGTGTCCACCACCATCCCTGTGTAGGGGATGCCACAGCAGGGTCCGGCCAGCAGACATGGTCCCCCTCACTCCCCCCAGCCTCAGCCACCTTCCATGCAACCTAATGACTACACAACCAAGCAGTGACTCAGATCACACTGTTGATCAGACAGAAAACTGGTCAACAGACAAAGGGAGACTTGCTTGCAGGAGGCTCGGCTTGAATGGCTGCCACATCCCTCGGGATGGATTTGCTGAGCAGGAGCTAACAAAACACTGTCCCACTCCCACTCCCCAGCATGTACTTTGCTCTCCAGATTACATGGTGTAAACATGGCCCTTCATCACAGAGCAGCTGGACATGGTACAGTCCAAACTCCTCACAGCTCCCACTGATTCATTGCTAGAGGCATTTCTCTGTGCCCATGGTTGCTTCTGCCCCTCTTCCTGCAGCTATTAATCCTTTTTGCCTCCTAAATTACCACTGTAGGGCCACACAGTGAGCTGAGCTGCAACACTGATAGGGCTTAAAAATAAACTTGGGAAGAAAAATAAGCAACACAAAAGGAAGAAGACATCTGGAGGACTCTGGAGGAGTCCAGAGTTTGCAGTGCCTATTACCCCCCAGGAGCAGCAGGACAACGAGAAGCCAGCAGCACTGAGTCCAGCACTGTTATATGCAGTGACATCCCCATACAAATGTATTTCCTGAGGGTACAACAGGCCAAGTTAGTGGAAAAGGGAACATTTTGCAGCTGAGCAACTTACCCTTCAGCTGTGCAGCGTGGAGGGTGCCTCATCCTTCCAACTGCATTGTAAAAGTACAGAAGTATTTTCTGATCTAGTTGGTGCTTGTGCTTCCTTTCTCTTCAAACTCTTTTGCAGCCTTAGCACGTCCAAGCCCGTGCCCGTGGCACTCTTGCAAGAACAGTTTGGTCTCTAACAGCCACACAGCAAAAAAGAGAGAGGTTTTCATTCAAAATAATTAAAAGCCACACAGAGAGAAAAGAGTTTTTCTAGTTCAAGAGGAGAATGAAAGGGAGCTCAGCCGAAAGTGCCTCAGTCTGTTCAACTCATGCTCACTCAAGCTGGGACACTGGAGGTAGTGACGTGTCTTCCTGGACCTCCCATCCATGTGGAGGTATGTGTTAACTCAGACAGACCTATGTTGAAATTTTCCTGGAATTCTTGGATTTTGCAGCTTTAAAAGGAAGGACAGACTAAAACCATGGCCAACACACGATTTGGTCCCTTACAAAGATGCAGTTGGCCACCTGTGGCTGTTCCCAGGAAGTGAGGTCATCTGCAGAGGATTTTTTGCTTTGCAGTTCCCACCGCGGCTCCCAGCTGGCTCAGATCCCCTGAGGATTTTGAAATGTGTCCTGGGATCTGCATTTTGCAATAGCCGTAAAAGCTTTGCGTGTCAGGAATTAGTGTGTCTTCCTAAAGCGTGCATTGACACAGAGGCTTCTCCTTTCAGAAAGTAAAATAGTAGGCGTTCGGTTTAAGAGTCATAAAATCAGAATGGTTTGCGTTGGAAGGGAGCTTCAAAAGTCATCTAGTCCAGCCCCTGTGCAATGAGCAGGGACATTTTCAGCTAGATCAGCAGCATCCAGGCTGGCATTATGTGAAGCATCCCTTGGAGTACAAACGCAGTACGTATCGGAGAAGCATGTTAGCCTCTTCATCTAGGTGGATTTCAGACACATGTTCCTGAGATTTCTGTATCTGTGGCATAGCAAAGCGGTCACATAAATGTTCTTACATGATTAGTTATAGCAGAATTCCTGAGGGCCAAACCAGTCTCTGCTTTAACCCTCTTTAACCCCTTGTTTTAACCTCTCCACTGCACGAAGCAGGACTATGGCTGAGTACTCCAATTGACAGTGCTTTGCATCTCAGTGAAGTCGAAGGCTTCACTTTAAAGATAAAACGGGGAAAACATTCAAAGCCATTTTCTATAAACCAAGATGGACAGCTGAGTCTTTGGGAAGCCACACAAATGAGTACACATACTCATATAGTTAGGGGCAAGTCGGAGATTTTCTTTTAGCTTTCCTCTAAAGTAGTTTGGTAAGCTTTATCTAGGCTTATTAAATGTGACTAGAAAGCACATCAGTATAAAAGCAATGCCAAAAATCTCCCCTTAACCAATCATCAAAAGGCACAGATCCATACAAATGAATAATACCCCTTCTTTTATGCCCAGCATCTGTTAAAAATATCAAAACAGGCAAATTAAACCCCTCTCTCGCCCAGCCTTGTCTTTTGTTATTGTCACATGAGGAAACTCCTTTCCATGTGTTTTGCCAATTTTCCTACTCCCTTTTCATCAGAATGTCAGAAGTAGCAATAAACAAAAAAGAACAATGGCAGAAAGGCCACGGTACTTCTCTGTGCTCTCTCTGGAGCAATAAGTGCATATGGCAGGGAGGGGGGAGGATTTTCCTTTGCAGAAGGACAAACAAGCCTTTCAAACATCTTTGGCAGCTCTTAAGTTAACACACACTTAGTATTATCCTATAACCATGTGGGGAAAAAACTGCAAGGCCAAAGGGCACATCAAAATACATCAAAGGCTGAAGAGTGGCCATGGAGTGCAGCTTCCCTTTCCCTAAATTACAGGGGTGAAAAAATAGAGCTCTTTAGCTTTTCTGTCTTGTCTGGACCAGAAAGCCAGATGCTGGCCAGCCCTGCCTGGTTATGAGATAGAGCTGGGCACAGCATCAGAGAGGAACTGAGTGCCTTTCACACCAAAGTCCTCTCATGTGCAGGGTTAGGGAGAAGAAGAGTTTCAAGGAGACAAAGGAGGTGGTTCAGAGGGAGATCTGTGGTAGGTGAAATGTGATATGAACAGAGATGCAGGCGGGAGGCTGGAGGCCAGCACTGCGAGCAGGGACCACACCACTGGGAAGAGACACATGAGCTGCAAGAAACCTCCCAGGCTCGGTCAGTAGCTGCATTTAACCTCAAGCCCTATCACTTCCGTTTTGCCATGGCTACCAGCACCCGTTTGTATGCCTTGACCTGAGCTTGGCTTTCTCAGCCGTCATTCTGTGACATGCTGGTGTGGCCATGTGTGGGCTGTGTCTGTCCCAGTCACCCCACACCAGAGCTGCTCTGCCCTCCTTGTGTGGAGCTGCTCAGTGGAACCTGTATCTTGCTGAGTGTCCTGCCCTGTGTCACCCCGTTCATCTCCCTAGGTGCAGCTGAGCTGGGTGAACATAGAAGGTGAGACCACAGAGTCTTCAGCCATAAGCATGGGACAGGGATGAGGCCTGTAGAGAAGCTTGTGTGAGGGCAGAAGGCACTGGCAGCAGCACAACGGATGTGTTAGGAGGCAGACAGATGTTTCTGCACAGCTCCTCTGACATCAGTGGTATTAAAGGGTTTTGAAATGTATCTCTGGAAGGAACCAAGGGCAGATGCTGTGGATGAGAGTGGGTCATCTTTTGGACTGTTGTTCTTTGAACTTTTTTGCTCTTGTGCCCCGAGAAGACACCCTGAGTGATGTGCTGAGTGCATGGGACAGCCGGGCAGGGAACAGATCCTGGGTATGGGTGGGATGCTGCCAGCGAGGTGTACATACACTGTGCTGCAGTTGTGAGGCTACAAGTGCAGTGTAAGCTATGTGAAGAGCCTGCCCGGGTCATGTAAATAGCTGAGCCCAGAGGAATGCAAATGGGCTCTGTTCCTTCTCTTGCCTCCAAAGGAGAAGTTAAACAGAGCTGAGCTCCTCATCTCCTCCTGGCACAGGACCAGGAGATGGGAGCAGCTATGAGTCACAGGAAGCAGGTCTGTGAGAGGACAGGTTTCTGGTTACCGGCCACTGTTTCTTGTTCCCTGGCTGAGGTCGAGCTGAGCAGAGTGTACTGACAGTAGTGGCACCTGTAGGGACAGCAGGGCTGGGCACTGTCCTGGGAAGAGGTGCCACAGGAGTGTGACACCTCCGGCCTCACATGGAGCCCAGACATCACATGAACAGCTCTGCTATCCACCACCAAGGTAACTCCTACCCCCAGAGTCTCAAGTTGGGCAACACCATTTAAGGTACCAGAAGTGGAGGCTCCTTGTGAGCCTTTCCCATTCTGTCTGTGCTCCTGGCTTGCAAAGCCAGGCCAAGAGCAGTCCCAGAGGTGCCACTTGGACCAGGCACTAATCCTGGCATCCATCTTCTTCCAGCACCTTCAGAGCAACTTCAGCCTCTCCAGCTACAGGGTGCTGGCCCGCAGAGTGAGGCAGTTAGGGGCTGTGTCATGGGAATCTAGGACAGACAGACAGGGGCTCAAAGTCAGAGTCTTGCTCTTCCCAGAAGCCTCTGAGAAGTTCTGAGTTCATCAGGAACAGGGAGCTTTTGCAAAATGCAAGGAACAGCCTCTCATCATTCACACAGCCAATCCCACAGTGGGACATAGGAATTGCTTTAAAACCAGCTGGGTTTATTTTTAGGGTGTGAAATGGTTGCATGATGCAATTGTGTGAAAGAATAGAACGTCCAGAAACAGTGCTGAATACCAACCTTGCCTGCACACCCTTCCTTTTAGCCACTGGGAGGCTGAAGTGGCAGTTGAAGTGATGTTACTTTGCAGACCATCTGCCTCCCAAAGCCTGGAGGTGGGATGGGTGGTGTCTGTAAGTGCTCTGACAAGAGAATTCATCAGGGGCAGTTACTGAGTTCTTGGTTAGAGCTGTACTACCAGTACCTGCTCAGGAAAAGGGCAGAGAGAACCTGCTATCATTTGAAGAATTCTTGTAGCCCTTACACAAGAAGTATTCCACTGCTTCCAGCTTCCTGACATAATTCCACTGCCCTCTTACAGTGAGGTGCATTCAAAGTTTATTTTAAGGAAAGCTTGTTTTTTTTTAGTGATACAAACCCCTCACAAGCCTTTACACTTTCAGTACCTTGGCTGCAGACCTTGTAGACATACTTCTATTGATTTGTGCCTGTAACAGCAATAAGCAAGATGGACAGTACTGGGACATGGATCCTGCTGCCCGTTGTATCACACTTAAGGAGACACCTTTTCCAGCATCCCTCTCTCTGCTCCACACTGCACAGGATTGGAATGCTGTCTTTTAACTTTGCATGTCTTGATGGTAGCCACTTCCACTAGGAAAGTTCTCAATGCCTAAATCAGTGCTTGATGCCTTCTGGCTGCACAGAGTTCTGTCTGCAGGGCAGTGTTCATCCCCTACCTCTGCACCATCTGAGTAGGCTTTTATCTGGGGTCCAGCAAAGCAGAGTTGAACGCAACACACAGGACCTTGGTCTTTGGTGTCTGAAAGCTCTGGTATTAGTGCTGGTCACTGCAGTTTTACATCCCAATTTAATCCTTTTGTTTAGCACCTACAGAGATCCCAAATGGATGCTATACCCTGTACAGTTTCAGTGTCTACATGTAACAGCTTGTGCACTTCATTCACTGTCTTGGGCTTCTCTGGAATACCCCTCTTACATTTTTGGCTGTTGCTATAGTTCTGCAAATACCAAAGGATAATTTGCCTTGCCCTTTGGACAAAAGAGCTCTGGTATCTGAGTGACAACTGAGCTTTTTGCAGCAGGAATAGCAACAGTAGAAATTACAAATAAAAGCAGATTATGCAAAAATGGGATTTAAGAGAGCTCGAGCTCAAATTCCTGCAGTTGCCCAAGAGGAGCACTGATGTCTCACAATCTATTTAAAAGATCTTTCGCTAAGCCACGTGCCACAGAAAGAGAATTAGCAATAACCTGTATGACTGCTTATAATTTGCTGATATAATCCAATGCTATAAAGATATTGCCTGAGCCAGGGTGGCCAGATAGGATTTTAATTCACTGACATCACCAGATCAGTAGCTGCCTGCTGTTCACAACTGCCTGCCTGCCAGACTTGAGTGCAGGAAAGACTAGAAGTGACACTTACAAAGCGACCAGAGAGCTCTGGGACTGGCTACAAGCAGCCAAGCAAGCAAAACTCCTTCTGAGGTGGTTACCTGCAGCAGAGAAGATGGGCAAGAGAACTGGGACATCAGTGTGCACTTCCATTTGGAAAAACAGCCTATCTGGAGGAGAACAGGGATGCACACCTACAGGGGCATTTATTGTATGCTAACTTTAAGGATCAGTCTCACCTTTTCTATAAGGAAATTGTCTATAAAGAAATGCCAACAGACTGTGCTGCAAGAAAATAATCTTTTATTTTGTCTGATAAATAGCAGGATGGATGTCAAAGAGACAATAAAATCCTTACAGAGTTACTGTTAATTCGAGTTTTTGTGGGAGGTTTTATTATTACGACACGACTAGTTTCTATAATGTTTAACTT